TCTTCTCTTTAGGAACTACAACCAACTGATACATACTGAAACATTTTTTTTTCATAGAATGAAAGAGAAAAGTAGAAAGTAGAGCCAACACAGGATTACGGTATAAATCCTGGAGTGGAGTTTTATGGAATGGATTTCAAATGTGATGCAAACAGACCCAATGGTTACCTTCAAAAATATGCGATCAAATTCATTCGAACCCTTAGAGACCCACTAAACTGAAGATGTAGGCTAATGCAAGCAACAAAAGGGACTGTAAAACAACAAACTGAAAAATTATTTTATTAGTTGTGTTTGCCAAGGCAAGCAGCACTATTGTTATCATTAACAATTAAGGATTTCAACCAACATAAAATACTAAATATTAAATGTGTAATCTGTCATGCACTGTTTGTGATACAGACTTGAATGACACCTCAAACCACGTGGCTTGATGAGGAGAGGAATGCCGTTATTTTTCTAAGCATTCAGACTTCTTGGCGGATGATAAGATTACATTGAATGGAATATCATACTTGGGTTTGGATCTGTTGTCTTGGGCTAGTAAGCAACCACAACACTGCGAACCTACAGCCTCAAATTACCTTAGCAACCGCATAGCAACCACCCACAACACCCCTAGCATCATGGTTACAGCTTTTCCACAGGAAAGGTAAGGTACTATTAATTTCATATTGACTTTGATTTTTGTAGGACATTTAACCTAATTCTTAATATATTACAAAACCATGCATTACAATGTCTAATAAGCGTTAAATTAAATACTTCACAAAGATCATGTTTTTGTCAAGAATTGATGACATTCAGGTCACTGAGATATGATTTTCTGTAGAAATGCTTTGAAATAATATGCATAGTAAAAAAATAATAATTGCAAACACAAAAATATACAAATAAACCCGAATTTACAAATAATTAAAAAAAAAAAAATTTTTAATTAGGAAGTTGATGGACACCAAGCAAAAGTCCTGGCATCTTTACATCATGAAAAACTTAAAGGGATAGTTCACCCAAAAATGAAAATTACCCCATAATTTACTCACCCTCAAGCCATCCTAGGTGTATATGACATTCTTCTTTCAGACCAATACAGTCATAGTTATATTAAAAATGTCCTGGTAATGGCAGTGAATGGGTGGTGATATTCAATAGAAATCCAATAAACTGTGCACATCCATCATAAAAAGTACATCACATGGCTCCGGGGGATAATACAGACCTCCTGAAGCGAATCAATACGTTTTTGTAAGAAAAATATATTTAAATGTTATAAACCGTAATCTCTAGCTTCCGCTAACTGTCGTGCACGCGTTCACGAGCGTGGTGTTCCAGCGGATGATGTAGGCGTAGCATAAGCTCCTGTGAGAATATGCTAGTCTCGCGAGTACCAACGTTTGTTTACAGGAGCAAAGTTTCCTTTGTTTAGCAAAGGAAAACCAGTCTCTTGGCTTATATCGAAATCCTCTGACTTTTTCCTTTACAAATCCTCGTTTTGTACTTCTAATTTGTGACCAGAGTTTTGTTTTGCTTTCTCCGCTGCACTTCCACATTCGTCACTTCTCACCGGAGCTTACGCTACGCTACACCTACATCCGCCGCTAGAATGCCACTCTCTCGTCAACGCGCGCACGACAGTTAGTGGAAGCTAGAGATTACGGTTTATAAAGTTTTATATATGGATATTTTTCTTTCAAAAACGTATCAATTCGCTTCAGGGGGCCTTTATTTATCCCCGGAGCTATGTGGGACACTTTTTATGATGGATGGTTGCAGTTTATTGGACTTCTATTGGACTATTGAATAATACCACCCATTCACTGCCATTGTAAAGCTTGGAAGAGCCAGGACATTTTTTAATACAACTCCGATTGCATTCATCTGAAAGAAGAAAGTCATATACACCTAGGATGGCTTGACGGTGAGTAAATAATGGGGTAATTTGAATTTTTGGGTGAACTATCCCTTTAAGTTTTACAAGACTCTTATATTTGAATATTTGGTATGATATGCATTTAAATGTTGATGTTAAATAGCTGATATAAGCAGAGCTGCAAATTCTATATTATGAATTCAATATGTTAATTAATTCTATATTACACTACTGTTCAAAATTTTGGGGTATGTTAATTTTTTTTTTACATATATAAATGTATTATGTTACAAAAGATTTCAATATCTATTTTAAAAAAAAGTATCATGGTTTCCACAACATTATTAAGCAGCAAAATTGTTAACATTAATATTAATCATAAATGTTTCTTGTGCACCAAATCATGTGACACTGAAGACTAATGATGAGAAGAGTAATGATGCAGAAAATTCAGCTTTGCATCACAGGAATAAATTACATTTTTAAATGTATTAAAATAAAAATAATTTTATATATTAAATGTTAACAATATTTTACAATATTACAGTTTTATTGTACTTTTTATCAAATAAATGCAGCCTTGGTGAGCATAAGAGACTTCTTTCAAAAACATTTCTGACCCCAAACATTTGAAAGGTAGTAAAGGCCAAGTTGTGATGTTGTGCAACCATAAACAATCAACCGTTATCATAAGCGGACCATTATAAAGCTCTACCACTAATAATGCCTTCTGAAGATGCAAAAATCTACACTCAGAAAAAAATTAGCAAAAATTGTAGTAATATGTACTTTAATGGTACCATTATGCAACCTTTAGGGGCAAAGAAGGTGCAAAGGTACAATTTTTGCAGTTTTTTTTAAGAGAGTGTAGTTATATCAACTGTTTTACACGAGTACAAGAGCACATTAATAGTTTTAGATATTTGAAAGGTAGTTAGTAGGTACTCTTGGATGGTTCTTCTTTTGAAGAAGATGATTTTGTGAGATCTATTAATGAAAAGCACCTTGCACTAGACCGTTCCCAGTCGCAGACACTACCATCACACCTTACACTCATAGTAAGCTCCAAAGCTGGCAGAGGCACCTGCGCTTTTCACTCCAAAGACTCCTATATAATTAATCCCCTCAGGAAAAATGCCAAGTGCCTCCCCTCCATTTAGATGGCTATCCGAGTCAAGAAAGATGCACATACTCTTCCCAAATGCAGATGTGAAACAGAGGAAGTCTGGCAGAATGACTGTTCAATAACCGCTCCTGTACATTCAATGGGTTCTGGTGAGCCAGAACTGGATTACACTACCAGTCAGGTAAACTCTAAGCAGGTGCTTCTCGTTAGAGGAACTCTTTGTGTTCTATGGGTAAATAGCCGAAGGGCCCTGAGGGGTTAATTGAACGCACTGTCATTCAAAGCAGCCTGTCAGAAGGCGCGTTTCCATTACCCTTCAATTTCGAAACGCTTCAATTTCGCAAAAACGCTCATATATCGCAAAAAAGTTTTTACGCTCTCATGAGGTGGTTTTTCAGGCAATGCGAAAAAGGATTAATTCGCAAAACTGCAATGGAAACGGCTTTTACAGGTCACATGGTGTATGTAAAAAGTCATATGATCATTCTTCAATGTACTATAACCTCCAAGAAACACTTCATAAGTGGCCGCGCTCCAGTATAAGGGGCTTTCCCTACTATTAATGCTTAGACAATTTACACTGCACACGTCTGCGGTGCAGTGTGGCTCTGATACGGTCACTGAAGCTGATTACGGCCACTCAATGCTTGTGTTTATGTTTTTATACAGGCTATGGTTTATTCCAGCCGCGCCACGCACGCTTCTGAAGCGGCTCTCTTTGCTGCTTCTGTAAAGATACATGCATAAGCCTCCTTTGAATAAATATAGCCAAAATCCGTCAAAATCCCACCAAAATCCGTTGCCATGACTTATCGCGAGAGGCAAAAAGACACGTTTTAGCTGCATAACATTGGTTAATGGAAACGCCGTCATTTCACAATACTTTATCGACATTCAGAAAATATCGCCAAAGTTTTGCGCAAATCTGTAATGGAAACGCGCCTAGAGAGACACATCAGAGCCAGTGAGAAGGTCTCTACTGTCAAGTGCCCATGAAGCTAAATTGGTCAAACGCATTGCTTGTCGCAAGGCTTATCATTAGTCTATGAATCAAATTTTTGCATCATGTCAACAACTGGCCATGAGCAGTGAATCAAAACTAGAATGTTTCCAGTATTGATCAACAAAGATGGTGGCGTGACACTGTGCACCCTATTTCACTTTCTGTTTGCGATGTGCTGCACAGCTAACCCTTCCACTTTATTTTTAACATGCATCTAAAAGGAAATCATTTTATAGGCATGCGCAGATACTGACATTTTTAAATAAACACTAAAAACTAAAATCGATTTAAAGGCTCTAAATTTTGACATTAATATGTTGACTTTAAATAACTTTTGACCATTACACCAATGGCAATTTGTAATGTTTCTGTTCTGAACTACTCATTTAAATAATTTGCTTTTTAAACATTCATGTTTAGAGAGTTAAAGATACAGTAACAATAACAAAATTATGTGCAAAATGGTTTTGAACAGAAAACAGAACATTATTTTACACCAATAGACATCCATTTTAAAATAAAATGGGAAATGAATTTGCTGAAGTCCAACCACAAACACGCAACTGATTGGTCTGTTGTTGGTGAACATTTTGAGGTGACATACAGCTTTCATGTCATCAATGTTGACAGCCTCAAGTTTACGTTGCTTCCAGCTTAGACAAAGGCTGATGATACACGGGGCAACTTTTTTTGAGCAGTGTTGCTTGGGTACTTTCTCACTGAAAATAGGTAACACATTTCTATCTGGATACTTAAGATTGGTCATGGGCCCTGTGCATCACCTGGTTGCCCATAACCAAAGTTGCCCAGCAATATTGCTCAAAAAGTTGCCCAGTGTATAATCAACCATAGAGTTTGACCAATAGGATGAATTTCATAAGAATATACAGTACTAATACCATTCTTCACTTTTAAGACCAATAATCCTCATTTTCTGAAGACATTTAGACTTCCAATTGTAATCAATAATAACAGCAATTTCGAAGTTTCATTGAACTTACTTCTTTCTCTGTCTGGGCACAGACTGAAGCGGTGTTGCTGTGGATAACACGTCCTTACGAGGGCGGCCCCGGGGCCGCTTATCTGTGGGGGCCGGACTTCCAGTGGGAGTGGCCCCAGAGCTGCTAGGAGGTGGCGAGGGTCCTTTGTCAGAGGGGTCTAGACTTTTCTCCTCTGATGACATTCTGTGAGAAAAATTATGTACAATATATTAGTTTCACAAAAATAATGTCACCAAATGCTACATTTCCAGGAAAGCTTTCAACGCGGCAAGTTTTAAAACACAACATTCTCCAACCAGTGAGGTTTTAATTCTATTTTTATTAAACACTGGTAACGCCAGAGGAGAAAATAATCCCCGAGCTTAATACTAAAATATTTTAATAAGCTCATATGATTTGCTCATAATACGGAGTCCAACTCTCAACTGAACCACCATGAAAATTAGTCAAAATAAGCGTTAGCACACTTTATTAATTCCAAAATTAACAATCCTCACAGTGCTGTTTAGTTGTTACATTTGATACCAAAGCAAAAACCAACACACTTAAAATTTTTCACTCAATTTAAAAGAGTTATGTGATTTTTTTTAAAGGAAGTTCAGTTCTTGAAATGATGGGATATCGATCTATAAATTAATCTATCTATAAATAATCATTTTTATCTTTTATCAAGCACAGCATGATGTACATGGGTCTCTATGCTCCAATAAAGAGTAAACACAACGCAGTTGTAGGTGACAGACCAAGAATCGGTCATGTTTTTGTATTCTTTCTGAATGTTGTGCACATTGTTAGTCGCTGCTCTGCTGGATCCCCAGTGCTGACCCTTGCGCCTGCTCTGCGTGGTGCTTCTGCCATCCTGTCCACTCAGCTGACGAGGCATACTGCCAACGGGATGCCGTCTTTTCCGGGAACTACATGGGATCCCTCCCTGGGCTGCTCTCATTGTATCCTGCCTTGAGTAAACAACTAGACCTCACATGGTTGAGTTAAGCCTTCAAAGAGGCTGTGTGCATTGCCATTAGTGCATACGTACACAATGTCTGTGGTAGCGGTTTAAAGACCTCATGAAATGACTTGGTGAAAGCATTTTTCTTTCCTGTTGATTTCCTACTGAAACAGGAAGCTGGGGAGAACGAATCGAAGAACCTATCTCCTATTTTTAAACAGCCAGAAGGCTTTAGTTCACATCATAGCTGAGATGCATGAGCTGCTACATGCTATTGCTAGAAAAAGGCTATATTGGGGGAGGGACATTCTAGAGAGCATTTGATTGGATAAACATTTGTTTACGCCCCTGAGTGCAAGATGACTCATCAATATTTTCAGTTCTTTTTCACAGAAGAAAAAAAAACTGCATACATCCGCTGCATTCAATTTGTCAACTTAAAATAAATGAGACCTGAACTAAAAAGTTGCAAAACTCCAATTCTGATTTCACGAGGTCTTTAACAGGAGAAAATATCAGCATATGGACCTGAAGTTTAAAGGTGTCTTTTAAAACTATTCTAACACAATACATCTGCAGAGTTCATAGCAAACATCAGCCCGTGGTTAACATCTGCATCAGCCTTGCAAGTGCAAAGGATTTCCAAACCTCTCAAGAGGTATTACAAATACATTTAAAAAACTAAATAAGTTATTTGTAAAGGTTACAGACCTTTGAATCCCTCTATTCACACTGCATGTACAGAATAGCGCTGCTTCATAATTATCATTAACATCAATGGATTCATTTTACGACAATTAGTTACATTTTTGCATCTCTACATGCAATTTAAAGTTTTAGTCAGATGTAATGACATTGATCATAAAACAGGTTTTTCTAACACAACATGGTAGCAGCACCAACTAATGCATTCACGTGTACATTATATTCGGGTTTAAAATGCATGAATGTATATCTTTGCCGTCTACATTTGATACTGCTGCGATTTCCCACCTGCATTTCCCATTGGGCTCAATAACAATCTACATAAACTCTATAAAACTAAATGTACTTGATGTGGTAACATCTAACCTAAATGGTTAAATTCAACTAAAAAGTGATTTAATATAATACTCAAATCAACTAAACTTAACAATAGGGTTAGATCAGTAAAAAGAAATCGATTCTTGACCACACAACACATTTAGGCCTACTGTTTGTACCCTAATTTCCCAATGAGGTTCAATAAAGACCTATCTATCCATCTAGCTATGCCATTTTGGATCTCTAATGTCTCCATCTATCTATGAAATGATGAAGTAGCATTCAATCAGCCATGCATACAGGACTTCTTTTGAAGTTAACTAGAGAGTGGGTCAATCAAATGCACGAATACTTTTGAACACTATTCACAAGGTTCGTACAATGCATACCTCACAAAAAGATATACTGGAAATGATTTGATATCACAACGCATGCAGGAACCAGAGGGACAGCCTTGGTGAAACAACAGAAGCACACAAAGCAAGGGCTTCTTCACATGAGGGGGGCATGTCCAGCTTTTTTGCCTTTGTTCAGTTGTCTCCAGAGCTTTGTGTCTCCAGAGCTTTGTGCCAATAATACCATCATGCCATGAAATACTCCAACGGTTTCCATACTTAATACTTTTTATAAAACGGGAAAAACAAGAAGAAGCCGGCTACTCTGAAGGAGAGAGTCGGGGTTGAACTCTTTAGGGAGTCCAAAGGCTAACGCCAAGTATCTCTGCTCTCCAAAGACGCAGCATTTATGATGATAATCGCATGCTAAGTGATGTTAACTTAGATGTGATGGTGTGAGAGTGGAAATATGACTGTAAATGCGCAAGAAAGGCTGTAAGTGGATACAGTAGAGGCCTTGCAGCCCGGCTGATTAACTTGTAAACGTTACTCAGTCGCCTATCCAAGCGGAATCATAAAAGGCAGTGGACACTAAAGATGCAGGGCGTTTTTTAGACGGTTTTTATAGTAAATAAGGAGGTTGTCGGGAATATAAGATGAAGAACAGCTGCACACTCGGTCGAAATGAAGTGTTCGCGTGCAGAAAGGCGACAAAAGCGCTCGCAGATGATGGCGAGAAACACACACAACACACTCTTCGATCGATATTTACTTACCTCTTCGACCCTAGCGATTTTTATTTATTTCCTTCATGACATGAACCGTCATATACGTGACTTATAGTACTTTTGTTTGGTGTTTGTGGCGCTGGGGGGGTTGGGGAGGAATACACCACTATTCCTCAGGAAAATAAGCCAGCGTGACAAAGCGATATCTTCTGCGATTCTGAACACGTATTCCAGTAAAATCCACTTTTATGTGCGGAACATCTGCAATGTGTAATCCACAGACAGAACGCAGCCGCTTTCCCTCGGTTTGAGCGGATCACTTTTCTTTATTCCGCTTCATCCCACATCGCCAAATCCTCCCTCATCCGAAAACAAGCCATACCGACCGATGACAGGAGCCGAGCCCTGGCCACATTCGGGAAAATACAGCCCAAAATATCCTCGAATGAGAGAAAACCGAAAGCAGACGTCGCTTTCAAGCTTTCAATCCTGACGACTTCGATCAGCTCGCGGAGCAAGCTGCAATTTCGAGCAATAGGCTATTTATTAACGCTAAACGCGCCGAGATGATCTACTTTCCTGGGTATTCGCAATTTGTACGAGCGAAAAACGATTATTAGACGCGACTGTAGAACGGAGAATAACGTAAAACGTTAAATTTCTGCATTGGTACAAATATTAAAGTTGTAGCTTTGACTCCATGGTAGCCATATTTGAGTGTAACCGAATCACGCCCTGCGAGCGACACCATGATAAATAGTGCCACAGCATTAAACACGGCACTTAGAGGAACGACACCTTCTCATTTAGAAGTGAATGGCGTTATCCTTCATAATAAGACTAGAATGTATTTTTAAATCACATAATGGCGGTTTCACAAACGCCAGTGCAAAATAAAAATAATATAAACTGACCCTGCGGAGTGATACGTTGGAGCGCTCAGCAGGTGAGGCGACTTTTTTTTCACGCACAGAATTTCTGCAAAACGCGGAACGGATTCTCGCAGAAGAACCAATCGGCCGGTCTTCAGTCTCCATGCAGCCATGAGGTCATGTGGTCGTGTTCCATTGACTTTAAAGGGTTACTCCACCCCAAAATGAAAATTTTTGTCATTGATCACTTACCCCCATGTCATTCCAAACCCGTAAAAGCTGCTTTCGTCTTCGGAAACACAATTTATTGTTGTTATTTTTGTTTTCTTCATGTACAAAAAGTATTCTCGTCGCTTCATAACGTTACTAGAAGAACCAATCGGCCGGTCTTCAGTCTCCATGCAGCCATGAGGTCATGTGGTCGTGTTCCATTGACTTTAAAGGGATACTCCACCCCAAAATGAAAATTTTTGTCATTGATCACTTACCCCCATGTCATTCCAAACCCGTAAAAGCTGCTTTCGTCTTCGGAAACACAATTTATTGTTGTTATTTTTGTTTTCTTCATGTACAAAAAGTATTCTTGTCGCTTCATAACGTTACGGTTGAACCACTGATGGCAGATGGACTATTCTGACGATGCTTTTCCGACTTTTCTGGACCTTGACAGTGTATTTTACTTGGCAGTCAATGGGACAGTCACAAGCCTCCCGGGTTTCATCCAAAATATCTTAAATTGTGTTCCGAAGATGAACGAAGCTTTTACGGTTTTGGAACGACATGGGGGTAAGTGATTAATGACAAAAATTTTCATTTCGGGGTGGAGTATCCCTTTAAAGGGGTCATATGATGCTGCTAAAAAGAACATTATTTGGTGTATTTGGTGTAATGAAATGTGTTTATGTGGTTTAAGGTTCAAAAAAATTATTTCCACATACTGTACATTATTGTTTCTCCTCTATGCCCCGCCTTTCTGAAACGCTTCGATTTTTTACAAAGCTCATCGGTCTGAAATGCGAGGTGTGCTCTGATTGGCCAGCTATCCAGTGTGTTGTGATTGGCCGAATACCTCAAGTGTTTGACGGAAATGTTACACCCCTCACCATACTGTTGATGCCGTGTCCGGCCGGAGCGACGAGACAAAAACATTAAAACTCATTATAAACGAGGCATTCGTTGCATCCAGTGGGGACATAATTACGGATTATAAAGACTTATACTGTCTTTTTACACGTTGCGTTGCATCGCGGCGCGTAAACATAAAACCATGTCTGCATTTGTGATTTACGCCTTCTTTCTTTGCGTGAAAATTTGGGCGGCGTTATGCAAATCTTCCCACATAGTGAGGTAGACATGTGGGGGCGTGTTAGAACGAGCAGTTTTAGGTAGGCGTGGCTGACTCTTAACTTTTATAAAGAATATCTCTTTGGATTTGACTTTAGTCTTTGTAACTTTACAGATCTTCTTTATGCACCAAGAGCTTGTAACACTCCAAAGAGGAAGGAAAAATTGACATTACCATCATAAAATAGCTTATTTAGATGTGTGAACTGCATTTGTAAATTGCTCAATAACAAGTTACCTGGAATATTTCAAAATATACTTTCAAAAGAACACTGAGATAAAGCACAAGTCAGGAGATAAACACACATAAACACATTTTAAATTATGATTAAAAAGACTAAAAAGAGGCTGGTGGACATTTTGAATGTGCAAGTAAGTCTTTAGCGCAAAAATTGGTCATAATTACCTATGACAACAAAATAAGAAGCATTCTAGGCTGTAAAAGAGCAAAAACACTCCTTTAAATCCACAATGAGTTTTATTCTTATATATTTTCCTTCTATATAAATAAATAGGCCTACACTCTAAAAAATGCTGGGTTAAATACAACCCAGTGCTGGGTAAAATAGGGACAAACCCAGCAATTGGGTTGTTTTGGCCCAGCGGTTTGGTTAAATGTTTAACACAACCTTCTGGGTAGTAACCCAACCGCTGG